TTGCCAACCATCTGCATAAAGCACCCACAAAATTCAAAAAATAAGTAAAAATGCACCTGGAAAGCTACTGGATATTTTGCTGAAACACTCTCCTGAAATCCTCACCTGCAGAAGATAAAGAGCCCTCACGACCAAGACTTAAGGCTGGTTTGCTGTATAGCATGTCCATGCCCCTTCCCAGGCATGAACGTTTTCTCTTCCTCTCAAACTCTAAGGGAACCCAGGACTCATGCATCCAGGGGAACAGTGTGCTGCAGCATTACCCAGATCATCCCGATCCCCTCTCCAAGGTCCCCTTTTCTCTGACCTCCCAGTGAGCTGAAAGGAGCCTGGCCTTGTTTCTCTTCTACCTCTGACCTCCACTTCCCAGGGAGCTAACAGCAGCCCCACCTTGGCTCAGTTTTCCCATAACATTTCTAGGGAGTACCACCTAGGCTCTGTCCTGTTACTTTTTCTACCCTAAGTCCTTTGTTTCAGTGTCCTCACCCTTAATAAACATACTCCAGGCTGGTTTCTGTCCTGTGACAATTTAACTGTGAGTCTCAATGATATCTGAGAATTGGAACTCAAATGCAAATTGCCTGACCCAGGGCATGGGAAGTCTGATCACTGCCCTCCTGTTTCCCTCTGCCCTGAGCTCTCAGAGTCCAAACCACCCTTCTCATCCTTGTACCATCTGGTCTCATTCAGAAACCTTTTTCAACTCAAGAACCCCCATGATAGGAGACCAGAAAAATGAAATAAATTAGAAAACAAGAGCTTACTGTAATATGAAATGACTGGACTTTTTAAACCAATGAAGAATGTTAATATCAGAGATTAAAATAAAGTATCCATTGCACTGTGCAAAGTATAAAAGGATTATGAAATATTAAAATATTATCCCTATAAAAACAATTATTTAATAAAGAAATACCAGAATTGAACAAAATTTCAACATGCATCTTTGTTGTTTGTGTCCTTTTCCTATAGAAAACCTCCAAAAACTCATATCAGATTCTGCAGAACGTATGATCAGACATTTAACAAAGATACAGGCACAGCAAATACACACCTGAGAAAAGGCTCACCATAAATCCTAAGAAGAATACAATCAAACAACAGTGAGGTAGTACCACAATGTTTTAAAAAATGTTTAAATAGATAATGGTTTACCAACCAAATATTTGCTAAGATATAAAAGAACTGAATCACTCACTGCTGGAAGAATGCAGAAAGGTGCAATTAGATTAGATAATAAATTGCTAATCTCTGTAACTTAAATATTTACTTACTCTACAACTCAGACTGTGAAGAGTTATTGACAAAGGTAAATGAAACTTATGTCCATATAAAAAATTATATACAAATATTTATACCAGCTTTAGTCAAAAATTAGAAATAATCAGAGATTAAGGTAAGATACATCCTCACTTCATTTTTGACAAATGGTTACTAAGGAGCAACATAATACTCTTGCAGTATTTAAAGAAAACTGCAGGCAAATACTTTGTTTTGTGCAAGCATCCTAATTTTTTTCTCTTAAATATATTATGGTATATGGTATATATATATATCATCCTGCTAAGATTAAGGCTCAACAGAGGTATATTTTGAACTGTTGGGTTGATTCATATTTCTGCAAATTCGTCAGGGAGAAAAAAGAGCAGGAAAACATTAGAATAAACAAATTGCAGAAGTCAGTATTTTTATGTAACAGCCAGGACATTTCCCTCAGACTTCAGACTAGGGGTTAAAAATAATGTAAAAACCTAAAACTTCTTCCTTAAAGACAAAGGCCTACTTGTAAATAATGTTGAGAGAGAAGAGAGAGGAAAAAAAACACACGCGCGCATGTGTGTTACATGCTATTAAGTTGACTCTAGTTCCTGGCAACCCTCTGAATGAGTGATGTCCACAATGTCCTGTCCTCAACAGTTCTGCTCAGCTCCTGTCAACTCATGCCCATTACTTCCATTACGGAGTGAATCCATCTTATATTTGGTCTGCCTCTTTTCCTGTTGCCTTCTAGTTTCCCAGTACTGTGGTTTTTTCCAAAGAAATCTGCCCTCTAATGATGTGCCTGGAGAGTCTCTACCAGCTTCTAAATTAACCAAAACCCTCCTAATTCATCAGTATGTATTCCTTTAAAGAAATATAGGGTGATAACATCCCATTTGCAAGATATAAGTTTTCTCTTTCAAAATGTAGGACCACATGTATCCACTTAGAGCTACTGCTCATCGCTATGAACAAACAAGAGATTTGCTGATATGTCTAATCACTTTATACTAACAATATCTGGAAAATGTGAAAAACTTTCTGAACTACTGTGCCTCCCCTGAAGAAGTGTTGTAGAATGAGAATAAGATATTTACCTGTGACCAAGTCCAAGAATGGTTTGTAACCAGCGAATGGCAAATTCACTCGAATGGTAAGGGAAGATTACATCAAAATGGTAGTAATCACTTCTCAAAATTTACAGTAAAACACATGCTATTATTTCTCTACAAAGGGGTACACAATTTCACCAATGTATATTTTTAAAAGGAATCCCTAGAAATTTGAATGACTAACTTTTTGGCCAGGGCCCCTTTTGATACATTTTAGCCAGCTGATCACAACAAAAGTTCACACTGTAAAATCCTATCTCTCTGAAAGACAGTAATTGTAACTAAAGCAGCAACAGTGAACAACCTAAAGAGGACATGATTTGAGAGAACAGGGGGGCAAATTTACTAAACCATCTGAAGAGTGGTCCACAGCATGATTAGGTTAGTACATCTGGTCCCTTGGCAGTTCCACAGCTACTTTTCTAAAACATTAAATAAGCATACTGCCATTGAAACATCTTTTAATACGTTTTAATAAAAACATAATTTCCCCTCTCTAATTCTGTTTTTCTTCCAAAAGCTACTTTTCAAGAAATTATCACTCAAACATATACCAACATAAAAGGGAAACCTGAAAAACTCAGTAGAACAAAAATACTATGAATGCTAGCTTTCTCAAGATAGTCTTAAATTTATAATTATTGTGAAAATACTTTAACTTGTTTTGCTGCAGAAACTAGTCTTATATCCCTATTTATAGGATATTTATAGCCCATCAAAGTTTTGTGCAAACATTTCAAGTCCATTATTCTAGTCTTCAGATATTAGCAGAAAGTAAATATACATACATATTACATTAAAAACAATATATATGTGACTTTAAAACAGCTATTATGGGTCCATAAGCCTGTAAGCATTCCAAATTGAATTACCAGCAAAACTCTAGCACCAACATGTTATAAATGAATACATCTTTAGGTACAGATTTCAAGACATATCGCAAGCTTTCCAAAATTTACCCAGTAGCAAAAACAAACACAATGGTGTGTGTGTATAAAACAAAATGTTTAAGTAATATATAAATGGTTTATACATTTTAGCCTGGGATATTTGGTAAACAAACATTCAGAGTAGCTTGCTGATGCTAGGGAAAATAAAACTTACATAGACTTCCCATTAAAGGCCTGATCTCCTTTATTCATCACAGAGCTTTTGCATATACCTTTTAAATATACAAATCATTGGCCAGAACTCTGCTTACAGAATACCATCTTCCATTATCACCAAATCTTTATTTAAATAATAACCATATTCACAAGAGGGACAAGTGAAAAAGAGGCTCTGAGAACCACACTTAATACAGACCTTAAAAGGACTAAAAAAGCAAAGCACGTTTCTTGCCTGCTAGGTGAATATTATGGATTTTCTGATGTGCAAAGGGATGCATAACATGATTAAAGCCTTCTGTAGGCCTCTGAGATGGGTAAGCAAACTTTGTGTTTGCTTACTGTTGTTTACCTCACCACTGCCAGAAATTCTTTTGATTATACTCAATGACAATGACTGAATCAATAGAATATAAATATTCCTGCAAATCCTGTAACTTGGGTAGACACTGATCCTCCACTCTTTCAGAAATATTTCTGGATGCACACTCAGAAGAGGCACATTCCATCTAGTTAGCTGCAGTCCCCTTCAGCACCTAAGGCCAGTGTTTCTATTTCATTGTTTCCCCTAACCTCTATGGTGCTACAACTAGTAGTGACCCTCACCCAGGGAACTGCTTACCTTATAGCACATGGCCGTTTGCCAGCCCGGGGCTAGAAACTCCCTTTAAAAGTATTGGCATCCTTTACAAGTAAGAAAAAAATTCATGCCACTCCCACCGTACTTGAGGTTGTCACAGCTACCCCTTCTTTGGAGTGATGTCTGTGTGTCCTAAAAATCACAGCATTGAGGCTTCTCATGAGAACTAGGGAGTCCACAGGGTTGCCTAGGTGGATATGAACAGGAATACAAGTTTGGAAAAAGCTGCTGAGTTAATTTCTGCACCAACAATCCCCACGGAGGCAGAGAAACTGAGACACAAACATAAAAATCGTTCATGCCTTTATGCCTGTAGGGCCCAAAACTATTATAAACTACCCCACACAATAAATAGAGCACCCAAGATTAAAGAAGACTTAGAAAAAAGGCCTTGATTTTTACAGACCAATAGAGATTAACTTGGCAGTTCTTGTACTGGTGACTTGGACACTCAAAAATTATCACTGGTATATTAAAAAAAAGCGTGTCCCTAAAAAAGGAAGTCCTTCTGCAAGCTGACAGCTGAACTCAGATGATTTTTTTCTCTAGGCCAAAACTGAGTCAAGTATGCGCCAACTAGTAAGAGTGGAAGGAATAAAGCTCTAAAATGTTAGGCTACTCCTAAGTTTCTCCCACAAATCAGAGAATGGTTACCTTCTCTGAGCACATTAGGGTGACGACTCATGCATCTCTGAGAACCTTACAGGTGCTGCAGGTGAAGTATCTTCAGCACATAAATTTGCAGTGACATAATTCTGGAAAGAAAACCTGAGTAAATGAAGAAAGGGCAACATGGACACACATACTTCACATATAAAACAAAATTTATGGGAAACCTCCCTACTGATTATACCTGGCTGTATGAAATTTGATTCACTCAAACAAGGCTTCAAAGAGGTCCCTACAGTATTGTTAACACATACACACCCCCTTGTACATTTCCTACACATCTGAGACCTTCCCCTCACGTGAACTCTTATGTGTGGAGGAAGATTAGAATTTTGGCTAAAAGATGCCCCACGTTAACTGTATTTATAAGGCTACTGTCCTGTGTGAACTCTCTGATGATAACGAAGGCCAGTGCTACAGGTGTAAGATTTCCCACATTCGCTGCATTTATAAGGCCTTTCTCCTGTGTGAACTCTCTCATGATAACGGAGGCCAGTGCTACGGCGAAAAGATTTCCCACACTGACTGCACTCATGAGGCCTTTCCCCAGTGTGAACCCTCTGGTGACGATGAAGTTGTTGCTTTTGGATGAAAGATTTCCCACATTCACTGCACTCATAAGGCCTTTCTCCTTTGTGAGCCCGCTGATGAATAAGGAGCCCAGTGCTACTCCGAAAAGATTTCCCACATTCACTACATTCATAAGGCCTTTCCCCTGTGTGAACTCTCTGATGAAAAAAGAGGCCAGAGCTACTAGAAAAAGATTTCCTACATTTACTGCACTCATAAGGCCTTTCTCCAGTGTGAACTCTCTGATGTACTTGAAGGGAATCATTCCTGGTGAAAGATTTCCCACATTCCCTGCATTCATAAGGTCTTTCCCCAGTGTGAAGTCTCTGATGACAATAAAGGTTATAGATTCTTTTAAAAGATTTCCCACATACACTGCATTGATAGGGCCTTTCACCAGTGTGAACTGTCTGATGACAACGAAGTTCATTCTTTCGGATGAAAGATTTCCCACATTCACTGCACTCATAAGGCCTTTCTCCAGTGTGAACTCTCTGATGAGAATGAAGTTCACCCTTTCTGTTGAAAGATTTCCCACATTCACTGCAATGATACAGCCCTTCTCCAGCAGGAACTCTCTGATGTACATAAAGGGAATGGTTCCTAGTAAAAGATTTTCGACATTCATTGCACTGATGTAGCCTCTGTCCAGTCTTAACTCTCTGATAACAAAACTTAGAAATTCTAGTGAAATATTTTCCACAATCCTGGCACACAAAACACTGTTTTCCAGTAGAAATGCCCTTCTTCTGAGCATATGCAGAGTTGCAGCTGATGGCTTTTTTGCATTCATTCAGGGTGTTATACTTTTTTTGTTGAACAATCACTTTAGATGTTGAGACTTCATCCGGCCTTTCCCTAGTTTGAGTAGCCTCTCGTTGGAGATGCTCTGACTTGGTAAGGAGGTCCAATCCAACCTCCCTAGAGGGAAAAAGCTCCTGGAACACATTACAATTGCCACTCTTAGCAAGTGACATGCTGTCCACACCTCTTACGAAAGGCTTCTCTCTCACATGGTACTCCTGGTGCTGCTGACACTTTGTACTGAAATAAAATCGTTTTGCACATGCCCCACACCTCAGCAGTTTCTGGCTGTGTTGTGCTTCCTGATGCTCAATCAAGTGGAAAATATGTCTCAAGACGGGCCCACACCTCTCACAGGGATGGCTCTTCTCTGAAGACAATGCTACCCTGAGATCCTTTGCCTGTGACACTCTTTCAGTAACATTCTGTTCAATTGTTGCTTCCATATCTTCTGCTCCACAGCAGCAACCTGAACAAAAAGAAATGCTGATGAAGTATATGTTGACCTTATAAAGAAGGAATATCCTCATCACACATGGCCCTCTATCACATTTAGGGGTGATGCTATGAAACCATTTTCAATACAAGTGAGTCAGATACTAAAGAAATGGCTGTTGTACTTTACTTGGACCCTAAAGTAAGTCAGCAGTGGTGACCTCACCAACAAAGAGACACAAGCATAGGATGAAACATAAGGAGAGAGACAGGGTCTATTAGTGGTTCTTCCACAAATGGCTTCCTGTAGAACCTTTCCACCCAATGGTGATGTGAGCCTGTGTAGAATATTTTGAATGAACTCAAACTCAACATCAATTGTACTAGAGCATAAATACATAACTTAGAACTGAGTAGTTGACCAAGTGCCAACAATAAACCAGAATAAATAGAATGAGTAGGAACTGGCAGTGGTAACAAAATAGGTCCCTAGTTATGACCTTGTCAAAGCTCATGCCGCAAACCCTCTCCAATAGCCCTTTAGCAAGGCATGACTGCCTCTGGGTCCACCCTGTCATGGATGGAGTCATGTTTCTTTTGGGTTGCACAAATGATTCTTCCCCTTAAATCCCAATTGAGCCATTATATGGAATGTAATTTATACAGATTATATAAATTCTAAGAAAAACTGAAGAGATAGATGGCCAGCATCGTGGTGGAACTTTAAAACATAAAAGATACCTCAGAAAAAAGATCTATGTGAGTGACTTTAAGAATGTGGCCAAATAAGAAATAAGAGAATTCTCCCTTCTTCCAGAACAAGTAGACAGCTATCCACAAACAGAAATCAATCACGGGACAGTGAAATAAAAATCCAATTAAGACTAATAGAAAATTAGCCCTCACAAGGTGGCTCTGTTGGTGGACATATCAGTGTCATCCTGATATGCCAACATTGCAGGTTCGATCCCCAGTCAGGGCACATACAAGAAGCAACCAATGAATGCATAAATAAGTGAAACAACAAAGTGATGATTTTTTTTTTCTCTCTCTCTACCCCTCCTTTCCCTTTTCTCTCCAAAATCAATTAATAACCAAACAAACCAAATGATACGCAGCAAAGCAAAAGTGCAAAAAAAAAAACAAAACAACACAACAACAACAACAGAGGAGCATAGAAAGGATGACTAGGAAGACAGGTTAGCAAACATGTTTGAGGATGGCTACAGTTAAGAACAAGGGTCGGCATTACCTTTCTCAATCAAAGTAATTGCTCTAAAGTTAAATTTAGTGTACTGTTCTATGGAAAACAATAAACACTTGTGTTTTTAAGAACCAAAAAAGCCCCTGCAACTTCTGTGAACTCCCCAGTTTACACATTAGGGGACCCTACAGAGTTTCTCAGCATGAAATACAGAACAAATCCCTTTGTCTACAACTTATTCTAAGAACACAAAAATCATCATATCACCAGTAGTGTTTGTTCCAGAGACTCCAAAATCCTCATCCGTGACTGAAAAGAAATGCTGCCAAAGCAACTGTGGACCAATACATTGTATGTTACTCTGACATCAGCTTATGTAGCATCAAGGAGACTAGGCTGCTGGGATTTGTCTCAAGACTGAAACACAACACCAATCAGCCAACCCATAAATCCACATGCAGATGGATCTATTTCTCTAGCCAGAATGGGTCCATAAAATTGAAAGGAGTTACTACCTCATCAAATGCATAGACATTAATACAGGATTAACAGAAATACTAAAAACAAGGACAATACCAAGAGAATATAATAATTTTCCAATAATCAGTGCAAAAAAATGGGTATCTATGTACATCCTGATAAAGTATCCAAAATATTTACTTTCAAAAACATCCATGAACCACCAGAGAATACAAATGGAACCAACTTAAGGAAGAAAACTGACAAGGGAACAATAGGAGAATATTAGACATACAGAAAAATTATAAACATATAACTGGCTGTGTGGTAGATACAAAAGGTAGAATTTTTGTATGCACAGAAGGTGTTAACAGGATAAAATAAATTGTAAAGAGTACATGTTGTTTTACATAAGTCTTTTGCAAATCACCAGCTAAAACGCATGTAACAATCATACAAATGAAGAGAGACTCAAATCACTATACAAAGTCCTCAGATCACAAAGGAAGACCACAAGACAGAAAGACAAACGAAGCAACTGCAATAGGAAGAAACAATTGAAGAAGAGGCAATAGGTGCTCCTTAAACAAATTCTCCAATCAAAAGACATTTAGTGGCCCTGACTGGTATGACTCAGTGGGTTAGACATCCTCCCACAAACTGCAAACTCACTGGTTGGATTCCCAGGCAGGGTACATGCCTGGCTGAGGGCCAGATCAGGGGCAGGTATGGGCAGAGAGGAGGTGGCAGGGGGGAGCGTGCAATAGACAACCAATGTTTCTCTTCCCATCTTTCTCCCTTCCTTCCTCTTTCTCTAAAAATAATTAAATAAATAAAATCTTTTTAAAAAAGACACAGAGTGATTGAAGAGATTAAAAAAAAGAAAGAAATGCAATATATGCTGCCTACAAGAGACAATATGCCTTTATGGACACAATAAGGCTGAAAATAAAGAGATGCAAAATGCATTCCACGCAAATGAAACCAAAACACAGTAGCTATAGCTAAAATTCTATCAGGACAAAAAGACTGCCTCAAAAACTGCCACAAGAGACTAAGGTCATGACTGAATGAAAAATAAGTCAACTCATCAACAGGAAAACAATTTAAAGTATTATGTAATAAATAACACAACAAACAAATATGTTAAGTAAGTAATACTAGATCTGAAGGCAGGAAAAGAAAACCAACATTAGCAGATAACTTCAATATTAATGCTTCACAAATAAGTAGATCATCCCATCCAGAAGAAGTAAGGAATTATTGAAGACTGACTACAGTTTAGAGCAAATAGTCTGAATTGATATATACAGAACATTCCATTCAAGAGCAGCAGAGGATGCATTCTGGTCAAGCAAACATGAAACATTCTCTACGTAGATCACACGTTAGGTCAAAAATCAAGTCTTAAACTTTGAGGAAAAAATCACGTTGTTTCTTATTTGATCACAATCTATGAATACTGAAATCAGTTTTAGTTCCAAGAAAGCTTGATTATTCACAAATATGTTCAAATTAAACAAAACACTCCTGAACAATCAAGGATAAAAGAAAAAAAATTAAAATAAAAACTCGAGGCAAAGTAACTAGAAACACAATCTACCAAAGCTTATGTATAAAATGCATAAAATGTAATTCTAAGAGGAGATTTTATATTGATGTCTAAATTAAGAAAAAAGATCTTGCTCTGGCTGGTGTAGTTTAGTAGATTGAGCGCTGGCCTGCAAAACAAAAGGTCGCTGGTCCAATTCTCAGTCAGAGCACATGCCTGGGTTGTAGGCTGAGTCCCCAGTTGGGGGAGCATGTGGGAGGCAACCAGTTGATGTTTCACTTATCGATGTTTCTCTCCCTCTCTCCTCTCTAACAATAAATACATAAAATTTAAAAAAGGAAGATGATCTCAAATAAACAACCTATCATTACACCTCAGAAAATGGTAAACACAAGAGAGTAAACCCAAAGCTGGCAAAGGAAAAAACCATTAAATATTAGAAGAAATATAAATGAAATAGACAAGACAAAAAAAAAAAACATTCAAGAGCTATCCTTTGAAAGATACACAAAACTGGCAAACCTTTACCTAGACTAAAACAAAAGAAACAAGGCTCATATACATTAAAGAGCTATTTAGGATAAGACATTACACCTGACATTATGGACCACAACACCTCATAAAGATGTTGGTGGATACCATGAACCTACATATAAAAACCTGTCAAATTCCCACTATAAACTTCTGAAATTTATAAACAACTTCAGAGTTCTGGCCAGGTAGCTGAGTTGGTGAGAGAATAGTCCTGATGTGCCAAGATTGTCAGTTATATTCCCCATCAGGGAATATGCAGGGAGCAGCCGATGAATGCATACACAGGTGGAACCACAGACTAATGTTTCTCTCTCTCTCTTCCTTTCCCTAAAATCAATAAATAACATTTTTTTAAAATACATAGAGAAAATTTACAGCATACAAAACAAACATATAAACTCAGTTCCATTTCCACACACTAATAATAAATTCTTTAATAAAGAAAGGAAGACTCATGGCCATGTGGCTAAATTGGTTAGAACAGAGTCCAAAACATACAAAAGGTTGTAGGTTTGATTCCAGGTCAGGGCACACAAATAGGTTGCTGGTTGGGCCCAAAGCTGGGGCATATGTAGGACACAAGTGAATAACTTTTCTCTCTCACCTCCACATCTCTCTCTCCCCACCTTTTCCCTCTCTCTCTAAAATCAATATACATATCCTTAAGTCAGGATTAGAAAGTAAATAAAGAAATGAAGAAGGCAGTCAACTTTACAATAGAATCAAAAACAATAAAATACACAGGAATACATTTCAACAAAAAAGCTGAAGTGTCTGTATATTAAATATGATAAAAAAAAGTGATAAAAGAAAGAGAAGACAAATGAATTCAAAGACAGCTGATGTTCTGGGATTTTAAAATAAATCATTAAAATGTCTATACTACCCAAATCAGCCTACAGATTAAATGCAATTTTGATGATAATACCAATGGTATTTTACACGTAAAAAAAATCTTGAAATGCACAGAACGTCAAGAGACTTTGAACAGTACAAGTCTCTTGCGCAAGAACAAACCTGGTGGCATCGACTCCCTGACTTCAATCTGTTACAAAGCCAAAGCACGTAAATTGTGTGTTGTTAAAATGAACACAGAAACGTAGATAATAGAACAGAACAGAAAACACAGAAAGACAGGCACAGATGTCAACTAATCTTTGACAAAAAGTGCAAGACATATAAGAAAGAAAAGATAGTTTCCTTAATAAATGGTGCTGGGAAGAACTGACATTCACATGTAGAACAATGAAACTGGAAACCAC